GTTGTTTTCTAATTATATTCCATTGCAGCCAGAAAAGGTATTTTCTCTATTATTCCTGGTACTTATTAGGATTTGCTGTTTTTTGCTTTTCCCCTTGGTAAATATTTTACTTGCATAAACACCCCTTATGTGCTTGAAAAGAACTGTGTATTTCTTTTTTTTTTTAAGATTTTACTTATTTATTTGACAGAGACACAGCGAGAGAGGGAACACAAGCAGGGGGAGTGGGAGAGGGAATAGCAGGCTTCCCGCTGGGGGCAGGGAGCCCGATGCGGGGCTAGATCCCAGGACCCTGGGATCATGACCTGAGCCGAAGGCCAACACTTAACGACTGAGCCACCCAGGCACCCCAGAACTGTGTATTTCCTAAATGTTGAGTAAATTCTGTAAGTCTAGATGATACTTGGTTATACCATTCATACTCCAACATTTGGTCTGCCCCATCTATTAATCACACAGAAAGGTGTGCTAAAAAAAACTCCATTTGACCAGACTTGTCAATTATATTTTTTTGGTTTCTATATTCTGAGGCTATTTTGTTAGGCACATAAAAGTACAGATTTATATATTCATGATGAATCCTCTTTTAACATTACATTATGATTAAAAATGTCCAAACTTTATTTTGACTGGTAACAACTAAACAATCAATCTTGCTTTTGGTTGGTGTTTGTCCGGTTCATCTTTTTCTATCTCTATACCTCCAACATTTCTTAATCTTATGTTTCAGGTATCTAATTTCTGAACAACACAGAGATAATTTCTTTTCCCAATGTGAAACTATTTCAATTGGCGTTCTCATATTTTTACTTTTCACTTATTCCTATACCCCTATATTAGATTTTTCTACTTACTAGGGTTTTTTTCCTTTTAACTCCTTTTCTGCCTCCTACTGGATTTTCTTTACTCCCTTTTCCCCTATTGCTTTAGTAGTAAAACATTCAATTTTTGTTCTTTTTGCTTCCATTTTTTAACTTCCAAATGTAATCACTTTAATCTTCAATGTTCCATACTGTTAGTATTTGCTTTTTATTTACTGTGTTTGCTCCTTCTATTGTTTTTTGCATCCTATCTCTCCTTTCTGGATTTACATTTTTTAGTTCTTTTGGCAAAGGCCTAAAAGTGGTACTCTTAATCTTTAGACTCGATATCATTTCATTATTTTCCAACTTCTTAGAATTTTTAAGTCTACCAATCTTACCATTTCCCTATTTTCCTCCAGTAGGTAATCGGTATTTCATAATCTGCAGTTTCACATCAATGTATCTAGGATGAATTGAACATGGTATCTCATGTTTGAAACTACTGTTTTTTGATCCAAAATATTCATCAATCTTGGAAAAATCTCAACTATAATCCTGATTCCTCCCACATTTTCTTAGGAGACATATTATATACATATTAGATGTATGACAGGACTTCTCCATCTGTTTCTAAATCTTGCTTTTCATCTCCTTCTGAATTGAATTGTGGGCAATTGTATGTCCTTCCACTTCACTATTTCTTCTGCTAGGTCTGCAATTCAACTTAACCACTGTTTCTATCTCATACTAGGTTCTTTTTAAATCTATATGGCCTTTCTTCATAACATCTTGGTCTTAGAGCTGATTCCTTCCTTTAGGTTTTTAGTAATTTCAAACTTATTTGCTTTCAGATCACCTATTAGGGGTTCTAACCCCATTTGTCACAAACTCTCATTTTGGTGAACTGTCTCCTCGAGTTCTACAATTTTTTAATGTGAATCTACCTTTTGCAAGGCCTGTTTTTTCTAGAAGATTCCTGTGACTTAGGCTGTGAAATTTCCTCCAGAAAAGGTTGTTCATTTGTTTCTACCAGGAGCCCCAAGGTTATTACCAGCCCAGAACCAATTTTTATGTTAATTTCTTGGCTTCTAAGTTTTCCTGGACCCCCATAATTAGCCTAAATGTACACCCAAATTGTATGAAGCAGTTCCCAGGTTACAATTCTCAGGACAGACCTTTCTCACTCAGGGCCCAAGCTTCCTTGTTATCTGTTATGCTGATACAAAGGTTTTTTTCTAGTTCACTTTTTCACTGAAGACAATCTTTCAAACATCTAGGTTTGTTTTTTTTTTTTAAGATTTTATTTATTTATTTGACAGACACAGACACTGCGAGAGAGGGAACACAAGCAGGGGGAGTGGGAGAGGGAGAAGCAGGCCTCCCACGGAGCAGGTAGCCCCATGCGGGACTAGATCCCAGGACTCTGGGATCATGACCTGAGCCGAAGGCAGACACGTAACAGCTGAGCCACCCAGGCGCCCCAAACATCTAGGTTTTATATAAGGTCTCAGTTCCCATTATCTGGCTCTAATAGTCTCAAGGCTTCATCTCCTTGGGTATTTGGGTAATAAAACCCAAGTCTCAGGGCACCTGGGTGGCTCAGTTAAGTGCGTGCCTTCAGCACGGGGCCTTGATCCCAGAGTCCTGGGAATGAGCCCCAAGTCAGGCTCCCTGCTCAGCAGGGGGCCTACTTCTCCCTCTGCCCCACCAACCCCTGCTTGTCCTCTCTCAAATAAAATCTTAAAAAACAAACAAAAACCCCAAGTCTCTAAATGATGAGACCTATACCTGCCTCTTCAGGGCAACTGTCAAGCTAGCTCTATGCTGGCTTCTACTTCATTTCTGGCAGTTAGGTCTTGCCCTTTTTTGGTAAATTCTTGCATTTCTGGTGTTTGTAGATAGAGGATTTTCAATTTATTTTGGTCTGCCATATTGCCAAAATGAGAAGTATCTTAACTTTAATTTTTGTATGTATAACTGATACGTTTGATTCTAACTTGAAGGTGTCAGCTAATTCACATTTGTAAACAATATTTGAATGAGTTTGATTTAAAATATTTACAATTTTTACTTATTTATTGACTATGTAAGCACTTATATTTTATTAAGTTTACAAGTCTGCTTTATCAAGCATCTGGAGTGGTTGAGTTTGGAATGTTTAAAGGATTTAACTAAACTTAATGCAATCAGCTGTTTAGGGGGGTTTACTGTTAATTTATTAATTGAAACATTCACCAAAAAACAAGTCAAAGCATACTATTTTTATACAAAATCAAAAATATTTTTATACACATTTTACAAAATGTATAAACAGCACATAACAACACTAAGTAGAACTTAAAAGATTCTCGCTTTAATGGACTTAATTTAGAAACAATTTTTATATAAAGTTCTTTTCTCATGTGAAAGCCAATCTTGATATTTAAAAAACTTACAAAGTGACAAATTAATCTAGTATCTTGGTACTTTGAAGACCAGTACTAATGGATAAACCAGCTCACACACTAATATGACACACTGAAAATCCTGGATTTTACAGATGGTAACCTCTAAAATTTAATCTTCCATAAAAGCTACGCAGTCCTATAAAAATAGCCATTGTTTTACACCAATAAAGATGTTAAAATTCAAGACAATGCCAGAAGTTTTTAATGTCCATTGAAACGGTAAATTTCCCCATGAGGGTAGGAGAATCTAAACCATGGATGGGTTACACACCTCCTAAGGACATACTTCTACATACTTCTGTGGAGCTTTACCAGACTTCATTCCAAATTATGCACCTTGTAAAAGATGTACCAATGTCTACTTGGAGTAAGAAATTATTTTTCCTTGGAGCAAGGATTAAATACTGAAAGAAGCAAGAGAGAAATCCTGTGCAGTTAACAGCCTCTTCCATCAGGTAGGTGCCCCGTTCCACAAAAGCTCAATATTCAGACTTAATATTAAGGTTAATCTAAGGAAGGTTTATTATTCTCCTGTCCAGCCAGTCTTGTTACTTTGGCCTCATCTCAGCCTGCTACTTGCTTTTTGTCACACATTTCCATCCTTCTGCAAGACTGCATGGGGGGGGGGGGGTTGTGTTTGTTTTTTAAGTACCAACTCCCTTAAAAAATGTGAAAGACTGTGCCAGCCATCACTTTGATCCCCATCATATGGCTTCAAGGAAATGTTCTTTTTCACATGAAACGTGATCTCTCATGTTTTCTAGCAAGTGGACAGCTGGGTCTTTGCAGCCTGTGAGGGACCCACAACAGAGGACCTTGCGTGGTTAGCTAGGACTGCTAAATCTAGAGAACATTCGTGTTCCAGACTTTATATTCGGGTTTATTAGCAGGACCTAAACTGACTGTCCTAAAGAGATCGATGCTTTTTTTTCCCCCTCTTCCACACAAGGGAGGGCGTGGAGGTGTCGATCACTTTAAATGCTTCGTGTAAGACTGCCTTTCCTTTGGCCTGTATACTTTAAGGTAAATGCCACATGTACCTACAGGAGTCTATCCAGAATAGAAAAGGCTCACTTTCAGGGCTCTTGCAGATGAACTGGAGAAGGGAGAAAAATGAGAGGAGGCTGAGGAGGAAGCTGAATTATATGCAAACACCCCCATTCGAATCCGGGTGGTGACGGTAGAGGGAATGACGGTAAGTAGGGTTTCGTGCAAGGCAACGTCCTTTGAAAGGGCTCCCAGAGCGTCAAGACCCCCACCTGATGAATGGGTGAGTCAGGAAGGCCCAGCTCCACTTCACAGATGGGGAAACTGAGGTACGAGGCGGCGAGACGAGTGGCCCGAGGCCTCGCTGAAAGATCTGAGGCGGAGCGGAGAACCAGAAGCACCGATTCTCTCAGCGGATGCTCTAATGACGGGCTCCCCCCGCCCCCGTGATGGCGTAGACGGCCTCCGCGCCCCCCCCCCAACTCACACACCCTCCCCGGGAGCGGCACGTCTCCTCAGGTTCAAGGACAGGGTCAAAAAACAGGGGGACCGAAGCACTCCCGCCGAGATTTGCAGACAGAGAGCGTTGGGAGCGCGCGTCCCTTCAGTCCAACATGGCGGCGGCCGCGGCCGCCCCCCCCACCCCCAAGCCTCCCTCAGGGCCGGAGGCTCTCCCTCGGGGCCCTCCGGTGGGCGGGAAGACGGCCCAACCCCGCCAGGCCCCTTCTCGCCGCTGCCGCTGCTCGCTGAAGGAGTCACCTACCCGACATGACTAACGGCCGCAGCGCGGAGCCCCCAGAGCCCGCCGAGAACAAGGGATACGAGAGCCAAGCGGCGCGGCGGCCGGAGCTGTACTGAGGCCGGCGCGGCGCGCTGAGCCCGACTGCGGGGCCTCGGCAGCCAATCAGAGGACAGTGGGCGGTACCACCGCGCCACGGCGCGAGGGGTGGTTCCTGTACGAGTACCAGCCTCTGAAACCTGAAGTCTTCAGAACCCCTCTCTGTTCTCCCCTCCGCGAACGGTACCATTATTGAGAGGGAATCGAGAGGAGAAAGTACCAATGCCGCCATTAGCATGGGGGAGGAAGCTGAGCCTACTATCTCGGTCCCAATTACAGTCCTATTTCTGACTCTTATCGTGTCTGATAGAATTCAAGGTTAGGAAGCGAAAGAGGGGAGGCCTTATAAACACAGACCATTTGGTTAGAAAAGGCCTTTCTTCCTCTAAGATTTAGAGTGGTATGCCCTAGTTCGCTCAGCTTTGGTTGCAGACAGCTGAAGCCATCTGGGGGCGTTGGGTGTCGCCGAGCTCGGGGACAGAAAGTCGTGATCGCCTCCCGGTCTAACTATCTTGTCAAGTAAAACAGAGACTACAAGGTGATACTGGAACAAACGTATGCATTAAAACGAAACCACACACAAACCCGGCCTTGAGAATATAGTGGGTGGGAGGTCGAGCTTTGGTTTTAAGTGCTGTTGTAATGGCCAACTCTAATTATCAGGCACCTTACATCATCTCATTTAATTCTCACAACACACTGATGAAATATTATCCCGACGTTACGGGCGTGATTATTCATTTGCCCTAGGTCGCACGACTAGTAAATGGCCAACGTGGAATTTGAATCCTAGTAACCAGATACCAACCATTGCCTGTGGGGTTTAACCCTTATGCTGCATTGCCTAGTGGGGGCTGGAGCTCTAGAGGATGAAATGAGGCTGTGAAAGCTCAGAGAGCACACAAGGACATTTTGCCCGATGGCAATGCAACATCTGAGTCAAGCCAGAGACGAAGTGAAGTGGGGAAAGGGCTTTCGACTGGTTGTAAAACAAGTAATTCTGTATTTTGGAGTTTACCCTCCAGGGGAGAACAGTAGATGCGGCCAGAAAAGTAGAGGGCTAAATAGTCCATACCTTGTAAAATACACTGCATTAGGGTTTGTGCTTTATCTTGAGGGCACTGGGAAGCCAGAGGATTTTAAAGGAAGGTCACATTTGCATCTTCAGGCTGCAGTATGAAGAATGTATGGAGATGAGAGGTGCCTAAAAGCAGGGAGACCAATTTGGTGGCCAGTGCAATCATTCTGGTGAGAGATCACAGTGGCCTGGACTTAGGTTGGAACTGTGAAGTCAGAGGTAAGTGAAGAGATCCCTGAGATACTTCCGTGGTAGACTGGGCAAGATGGAGTGACCAATTTGGAAGGGAGGAGCTAAGGAAGAGTGAGAAGTGAATTCTGAGTTTCCCACTTAGAGAAGTGGTCAGATGGTGGTATAATTCCCTGTGGTAGGGAATAGGAGGAGGAACAAGTTGGGGGTGGAGGTAGAGAGATAAGTTCAGAATTAACACCTTCAGGTCAGAAAAAAGACATGAGGTCATCTCTCTTCGTTATACTATGAATAATTGTACACTCAACTCTAGATATCGAGGGTCATGGAGCTCTCTGGATAAGTCCAAACAAGCAAGGTTAAAGGAATAAAAACTCCTTCGTGACTAAAAATGATTCAGCCGATCAGCATGAACATTGAGGAAGGCAACCCAGAGGAGGAGATGATGGGCATGTGCAATTGCAGGAGAGAATTGGGTTAGGGATGGGGGAAACTTCTAGATTGTTCTTCCTATTTTTTTATTTATTTTACAATTGGGTGTACAATTAAGATGGAAATACAAAAAGTGTTGCTCATCATTGCCCCCTTAAGTTTGTATCATCAATTCATTCATTCACACATGCATGCATTCTTCATTCAACTGCCATCTCCTGAGTTCTACTCCATGTCAGGCCCTGGAAGGCCTGGAGGTAGAGAAATAGGAATTTTGATGGCCCCTGCCCTCCAGGAGCTGCAGTCTCACAAAAGGGGCAGTACAAACCTTTAATTCCAATGACTACTGAATGTGCTAGAATGGGAGGATGCAGAGGGTGCTCTGAAAACAGAGTAAAAGCACCTAGCTCACATGAAGGGTAGACGGGGTATTAACAAAGGCTTCCTGAAGGAAATACCTCCTAAACTGAATTTTGAAGAAAAAACAGGAATTAGGCCCAGGATGTATATCAGGCAGAAAGGGCTGTATTTGCAAAGGCTACGAGAGAGCCAAGTGCCAGGAATTGCAAGTGGTTCTGGCTGGCTGGTCTGTGGACGTGCAGGGGTGGACAGTGGTGATAAATGATGAGTGAAAGAGGTACACAGAGGCCACATCTTGAAGAACCTGTGGGCCTGGCAGAGGAGTTTGGATACTAAATCAAAAACAAAAGGGAAGGGGCGCCTGGCTGGCTCAATCCAAAGAGCATGTGACTCTTGATCTCGGGGTAGTGAGCTCAAGCCCCATGTTGCATGTACAGATTACTTAAAAAAATAAAATCCTTAAAAAAAAAAATGGAACTTCTGAGGAATCTAATCAAAGGAGTGACATTTAGTTTTTTATATTCATTATTTCTTTTAATATTCTGGACAGCCCCGTGAAATAGGTATTACTGTTGTCCACATTTTGTAGAGAGAACACTGGAGCTCAGGGAAGTGAATCTCTTTACCAAGTCCACACAGCTAATTAGGGACAGAAGGCTCACATCCAGGCCTTTGGACCAAGCCCAGGGTTCTTTTTACAGTGTCCCTGGTCTCTCAAACATGAAACAGAGAACTCCTCCTAAGTCTGTATTCCTCTGGGTCTTCTTCCCAAGGGCCCTTCTCTACCAGAAACTGACTCACAGATTGAGTCCTGTGCTCTCCTGTCTTCCAGGCTTTTGCCAGGGGATGATTATCTGGAACCGACTTTAATCTTCACCCCGCCGTTCTTCATGCTACAAGATCCTGCTCCCTCTACATCCACTATCCTGGCCTCACTCTGCACAGTTAGGGAAGACAGCAGGTACATTTTACACATCAGCTTTAGCAGAATGTACCTGGGAAGGTCTTAGTACTGGGCCTGTTTGCCCTTGATCATTCTTCAGGTCCTCACTTGGAGAGCTAACCCCGCCCCCACCCCCCACCGCAGGCTACCTTTCAGTTTCAGAGATTCCCTCAGGCGGTAGCTTCCAGCTAGAATCAGTCAATGGGCAACCTGGTGGAAAATCAAACAGTAGAAAAAAGGAAGAAGCCAGGGTTATGTCTCCCCCCTCTCTGCCACCAGCTGCAGCTGCGGTGTCTCAGGCAGCAGCTGTCTTCTCCAGAGATCTTTCTATTCCGTGCCCCTGGCTCCTGGGATCCTGTAACCCTTTCTTCCTTCAGTCCTCCCCCTCCCTTCATCCCTCCAGCCTAGGGCTGGTAGAATCTTCTTGCTGTTGAAAATTTCTGAGTTGCCTCCCTCCCGTTTTGCTTCCCAACCTTCCACCATGGGTGTAGGGCCTTGTAAGGCCCTGTAAGGACCGCGAACTTTGTTAGAGTGAGAGGGGAGGCCGGGAGAGGGCGCCACTTAGCAGAACCACGCTAGGATCTGGCCTGTATTACTGGGGTTGCTCGGGCTGCTGTCTTGAGAATGGACCATAGGGGGGCAGGGAGGTTATTGCTCCCACCAGAGTGAAAACCATAGCACAGTGATCTTTTGTCTTTTTTGAAATCCTGTGGAATTCTCAGTTGTACCAACCTTCCAGGCTTGCTACCTGATTAGAGGCTGATTTATTCTCTAGTTGGGTTGCCTAGTTCCCCTCTGAACTCCACAGTGCCTCACACAGTGCCAGAAACAGTAGGCACTAAAAAAAAAGGGGGGGGAGCTTGTATTTAATGAATGAATAAATAAGTGAGGGGGGAAATGGCATGACTTGTCTTTCTGACTTGTCTGTAAACTCCTCAAGCTCAAAGACCTTCTCTAGGACTTTCTTACATCTCCCGCAAGGCACAGAGTAAGTGTTCAGGGAGCACTGTTCAAAGACTGACAGACTGCTCTGTGCCAGGTGTCACACACTGGTAAGCAGTCCTAGCCATCATCACCACCCTCCCACCCCCACCTCAGGAAGTGTCCCTGGAGCCCTGCTCCTCCTAGAGGAGCCTTCCTAGAGAGCAAGCCTCCCACGAAGATCTCCCTGAGGCTCTGCGAGGCAGGAGTCGGTTCCTTGGAAATGACCGGCTACCCCATCCTTAGGACGGTGGCAGGCACTTCCTGTTTGGGGTGGAAAGGAACCAGACACTTTCCGGTTAGCAGGTCTTTTAAGCAAAGCAGCAGATGCTGAGCAGGTCCTGGTCAGCCTTTCCAGCCAGATGTCTGGCGGTTAGACAGCCTTTCTATGGAAGGGAAGTGGGGCACACTGCCAGATTGGCTAGGCCTTCATTGTGCTCCTTGCAAGTCCCCTGGGTCCCGCTATGAGTAAAAAACAAACCAAAAGAGGCTGTCGCCCTGCAAATCATGATGAGGATTAGGAGAGATGGGCTGTTCTGACCAGAGAGCATTCATTGCCTGGCAAGGAGGTGCTCGTATGATTGTTCCAGAGCATGCTTGTGTATGTTGTCTGGATATGAGCATCCCCCAGGGTGAAACTGTGCAAAGAACACAAGCATGTAGGCTTGTGTCTGTGTACCCAATATCTAGCACTTGATAGGATTTAACAGTGAATAATTGTCTAGTTGGTTCCCTCTAGCAAATTGGGGTAACAGAAAAGGCAGGAATTATTGTTGTCCCATTTTAAGATGGCAGAAACTCAGAGAGGTTAGTGGACCTGCAAGGGTTAACAGAGTAAGAAAAAGTCCAGGTTCAAACCCAGGTCTGTCTCCCTCCAAATTTCTTGCCTTTTCCAGTCCCCTATGAGCATGTGCATGTGTGTATATGTACAGGGAGGCAGATAGGGCAGGTAGACTTGGGAAAGTGACCCAGACTAATAAGAGCACATCCACATGTGCTAGAGAGAGGAAATTTCTCTTCCAGAGGCAGAAGTGGTAGCTAAAGACTCAGGGCTTCTAAAATTGAATCACTGTGCTAAAAATGCACAGAGGTTATAGTCAATAATGAATCCAAATTATCACAGCTAACCTCCTCACAACTCTGGGGAACAACTCCCCTTCAAAGCTCCCAAGCTAATCCCACGTCCTCATTCTTCTTATTATTCCTATGATTGTGATTTGGGGAGGTTGGTCATTCTGTTAGTGCCTTTCTCCAGAGCCCAGAATTCCTTCTGATAAAATCTACTTTGTGCTCTGCACATTTCCTGGGAAGAAGGAAGGGGCAGAGACAAAGCTAATTGTTTCTCATGTTATGAAGAGAGAAACTGAGGCCCAGAAAGGGCCTTGTCCAGGTCCATACATCCTGCTTGATTCAAAGGGTCCTGGTCAGGAAGACGACTCACTGGCCAGCTGTTGCCTTCTGTCAGAGAAGAAGGAATGGCCCAGGCAGCTGACAGCCACTCCCTTGGGCATGCAACGTGCCCAAGCCCTGTCCACTTGAGGAGAGCCGGGAGGCACTGTGGGTTTGAACTGAGCCCCAGTGCAGAGAGAGAAGGAGGGGAAGCAGCTCTTTTTGAAGAGGACAAACGGAGAGGACTGCCAGCCTAGCGGGGTCAGGAACTTGCTCACCCAAGATAGGGAGGGAGGGAAAGAGAGAGCCAGACCCTTGGAAAACCTAGCCCTCCTATCTTCCCCTTGAACACTGGTTCAGAGGGTATCCATTTGACCTACTAAGTCAAGTCTGGAGTCTTGACTTAGTCAAGACTAAGTAGGTCTGGAGTAGAGCTCAGGAATCTGAATCTTTACTAAATGCCTCCAGGTGATTCAATACAGGTGCTCCAGTGATCTTTTGACTTGAGGTGAGATAGCAGAGTTTAAGAGCTCAAGATCTGGAGTTATACTATCTGGGTTTGAACCCTGGCTCCATTACTAGATTTGTGACCTCAGACAAATGGCATAATCTCTCTGTGCCTCAGTTTCCTCATCTTTAAAATAAGGATGCTTATAATAGTAGCTTTCTCATAAGGAAGCTGCAAAGATTCAATGACATGATTTATGTAAAGCACATAGCACATACGTGGCACATGCTAATTTCTCAGCAAGCATTAACCACTATTATTTGTTCCAACTCCTCATTCCCATCCTCACCCCCACCAGAGGAGGAAATAACGGTATTGGATTAACATAGGGACTTGTCATCCAGGATTGTTTGGGATGTGGCCGATCCAAAGCCATTCTCCCCCCAACCCCATCACTCTTCCGATGTCCTTGCTGTGGACTGAGCTTCTTCCAATAAACTACCCTGCCTTTCTTATCTTCCTTCCTTCCTCAGTGCCCCTCTCAGATGGCAGACCACCCTCCTCCACCCCATCCAAAGTGACTTGGCTTAGGATGTGTCCTGGAAAGTGAAAACATACAGCAAGTCAGGCCCCCAGATTCCTGAAGAAGATCACAGAATTTGGTGCTCTGGGACTTATGAGTAAGCTTTGGAGTCAGAAGAGAACTGAAACTCCTGCTCACCCAGGTTCTAACTATGGAAACATGCTGTCTTTCTGGGAAATGGAGACATCCTGTGCCAAAGCATGGTTGAAGCCCAGGATGAGCATGCGGGCAAAGGAAGATCTGTTCTGCATAAATTCTCGCAGGCACTTCCAAGTGCAAATTCTTGGCATCTCCAAGTGACCACAAACAGAGGTGAAGTGGGACAGGTGAGGATCGGATG